GAACTTCTCCAGCTCGTAAGCATCAATCGATAAGTATACCGGCATCGCCTCACTGACACTTTCCCCTGTGCTTCAAAGATTGGAGGACGCGGCTGGGATGTAAGGCTTGGAAGAAAAGACGGCAGAGTGTCACTAGCTTCGAGAGTTCCCGGGAATTTGCCGAACGTAAACATGTCAGTTGCTCAGCTCACTTCATTCTTTAAAACTCGAGGATTCAGCCAAAGAGAATTGGTCGTCTTGTCCGGTAAGTTTTTGAAAACCGCCCCTGTGACCCTGTTAAATTCCCCTGTCCCGTGTTACGAATCTTCGATCATGCCTGTTCCTGATTTTCCTGTTCCTCCTTGTTTCCCTGACCAATTTTCCTCCACTGAGCAGGAGGCCACAGTGCTGGTTTCGCTCACTGCAACAAGTTCATGGACCGGATTTATGGCAGAATTGATCCAACCATGGATACCGGTTACGCCAGGGGTCTCAGAGGTACATGTCCCCAAAGGAATCTGGACCCGACTGTCGTTGCCAATCTCGACACCACCACTTCCACCACGTTTGACAATGTCTTCTACCAAAACCTCCAGAGCAAAAAGGGCCTTCTCCGCTCTGATCAAGTGCTATACACCGACCCGAACACTAAGAAAGTCGTGGACTCGTTTGCCTCCAACAACACTGCCTTTCTCATTGAGTTCGCGGCGGTCATGGACAAGTTGAGTGCCTTCAAGGTAAAGACAGGCTCTCAAGGTGAAATCCGGAAAAACTGCGGGGTGATCAATTAGTGGTACTGTCCAAAACTATGTACGGGGAAAATAATACCTGGATGATTTTTTTTGATCTAGACAAGTTGATAATAACACTCGGTTCGCTTCTGTAACTTTCAGGTCATTAATCTGGAAGAAAAAGAAGAAAAAGAATCACTTAGCTCATATCCCATCGAATAGAAGCGTGTTTGCACGTGGTCAGGAGCGATTCCGTGTTCACAAACCGCCATCTCTCGTTGGTCGCTAGTCTTTCTCAAGACTACAGCTACGATTGTTCAGATCCTCTGGAAAAAATTCTCTCCACGCAAAGCTTATCTGGAGAGTTGACTTAAAATCATAAAGTAGCGAACGGGAAAAAAGACATACAGATCGCTATCACCTACACGACTGATCGAGACAAATGACGCTGGAAACTGGAGACCGAGACTCTCGCCATTGAAGAAGCAAGCACCGCGATTAAGATCCAAAGATCTAGCACACAGCACATAAACGCAGACACGCACGACGATCCACCACCGCAGAGACGTGTACATTTGTGAGAGATACTTCTGGAAAAAATGACTCTTTCCATACCGACATTTTGAAGAAAAACAGATCAATAGATGCCTAGCAATCAGCAACCATGTGCCTTCCATCCGCGTTCCTGGAGGAAGCAAACCAAACTGTAAACAAGCCGGGGAGAAACGCAACCGCGCAAAGTCCAAAACAGAAGAAACAAAACATACTTGTCGTGAATGTGGCCTCTTTTTTCGATCCATCTCGACCTTCTGCTTCTTCTCGTCCATCTCTGCCTTCCGGAGGCTTGGCCTGTATAGAAGGAGTACGTGACCGATCTTACCAACGACTTGGGCCTCTAAACCGTGCTCCAAGTCCAGCATAACTTGGCTTATATGTGTTGGACAATTGTCAAGGACCCTCACCTACAGTTATAAAAGCAGAGAAATGTGGTTGTCCATTGCAGAGAAAAAAGAAAGTATGGCAAACCTTCATAAGTTCGTTCTTCTCCAGAGCGTCGCCCAAACACTTGAGTGAGTTAGGAGTAACTCCCCACTTCCCTACCTGCACGAAAGCAAAGCGTTTCACAGTGAAGAAGAAGAAAAAAAAAAAAACTATATCTCAAACAAAACAAAAAGCTTACGTGATGAAGCGCAATGGATTTTCCCAGCCGATGTGCATGTCCACGGAGCTCTTTCTTTTCTTTTTGACTCAATGGTGGAAATCTCGACTTCCATGGACCCGGTTTCTTGTTTTCGGTCCCGGTGTCTTCGGCACTGATCCTTTTTATAATTTCCAACTCGCCCGGATCATCATCGTCATTGTCAGCAAAATTTTTTCTGGCTTCCAGAGAGTCACCCTCTTCTTCTTCTTCTTCGTCATCATTTTCTTCCTCGTCTTCTTCGTCATCAAGCTCATCTTCCTCGTCTTTTTCTTCTACTCGAAATATTTTCTCCTTCTTCGCCACAGCGCCAGTGCTCACCATTCCCCGGAATGCCAAGCTCGACCATGCCGGAATGACCTGCTGCCGGGAGATTGATACCCTACACACCTGTGGCGGATAGATTCGAGCAGCGAGCCGATTGATCCTCCAAACCCGCCCCTTGAGCACTGGGAAGCACGTCGCGGCGACGCTGGATGCCACCTTCGCCATCGCCGCTGGCAATGTGGCTCCTCCTCCTCCACTCCGGCTCCAAATCATCCCTGCATTGGGAGGGAAAACGCTAAAACCCTGGAAGGACTCAATTAGGGCGCCTGGGGATCTTCATATTTTAGGGCTCCTCCCTGGAACCCTAAAAAACAGGGATCTTTTTCTCTTCGTGTTTTCCGCCATGGCATTGGGACTCGTTGCTCGGGCGGCGCTCCTCGTTTCTACTCTGGGCGCGCTGGCTTTCATCCTGGGGATCATGGCCGAGAACAAGAAGGTATTGTGAAATTGCGTGATTCTTAGCTCTAGGCACTGAAATTCCGGCTTGATTTGCAGCCCGAAAGCGTGACAAGCACGACAGTGAATGGCATCACGATCTGCCATTACCCTAGCGATGCGAGCATCTCGCTGGGAGCCGCGGCAGTGGCGGTGCTCTTCGTCACGACCTGCGTAGCTCTCGTTGCCTTGTTCTTTCCCTACGATGGGAAGCACATTCCTCACAGTGCTCTCTGGAAGAACGCCGCGTTTACAACATTCTTCGTGCTCAGCCTGTAAGTTCCTCTGTTCATTCAGGTAGAAGTGGCAGAATTCCGCGGATCTCATGGACTTACAGTTCTTTTCTTCGTTTTTTTGTTTCGTAGAAGTTGTCAGATCTTTTATAGAGTTCCTAGATTGAAGGATCTCATGAAAGCTCGTTTTTTTGTTTCGCAGAGCTGTCTATCTCACGGCCGAGGGGCTCCTGCTGTGGACTACGATCAGCGAGAGCATGCATCACAAGCAAAACAAGCACTATCACTTGGCAGCCGACGGGTGCCCGACGGCAAAGACTGGCCTTTTCGGTGGAGCGGCGTTTTTGGCTCTGGACAGCACGCTCTTCTGGCTCATTTGTCTCATGCTCCTGGGAAACGCTCGCGAGGATCACTTCGGGATGGAGGATGAGGCCTCCATGAAGGGAATCTACGCGGAAATCCCTCACGACTCCACCGTCATCCCTCCCGCGAACAAGGTCTGATATGAAACAGCGAAGTTTTACCCTGGCCTCCCGCAAGTATCTTCGCTCCTGAAAGTAGGCCCGTTATGGAATATACAACCATTGACAGACTGATTACCATTCTCTCTTGAGCGTTGTCGCATTTGCTTTGTTTTTATGTTTGATTCTCATTCTCTTTTGGCTGGCTTTGTTTTGCAATGTCGTTGAGCGCGATCAAGAGAATCAAGAGGTAAATGCTCTCCTTGGTTAAGTTTGTTGACCAAAACTTGTTTTTTGTAGGTACAGATGTGACAAGCCAAGCGTCACTCACTCACGAGATTGGATTTTCTGTCCATCCCTCTTTCTTTTTCCGTTGCAGAGAGATGGACCTATATAGTGAACACATCATCACGGGCGCATATTGAGAAGTTCCATCGATATGAAGGTGATGGTTGTAGTTTCCAGTTCCAGCTATTGAAGGTTTAACCGAAGCGGTACAAGAATTTCTTCAATCCTCAACGAAAGCGGACGAAGCGGTGCAATCGCAGCAGCATTCAGTACTTTCGATTCTTACCATCAATGCGGGAATCGTGAGGAGCATTGGAGTGTCAACCACTATTTACTTCTCCGGAATATTTTTGGAGTTATCAGAGAAGATCCTTCTCCTTGCTGGAGTAGAGCAGAGGTCGCTGGCCTGGCGTTTATAGCGCGCCGGTCTTTCTTCCAATCCAGCGGAACAACGGAAGCTGGAGCTATGTCTTCCGCCACTGCTACTGGCTGCGCTGTTGAAGATGGCGATGAGATTTCCAAGCTCTTGAGCTTCACTCATCCGGAGCTCCGGGGCGGAAGCAGGCCTTTGAAGCACAGCTTCTCGCTGAGGCAGATGAAAGTTCTTGACGCCATTTGTGACACTCTGGTGCCGTCGCTGCCCGTGGAAGCGAGCAAGCAAGACAATTCAGCCAAAGCGAAGTTTTTCGAGCTCTCAGCGTCCGAGTCAGGCATCGTTCCGGAGGTAAAATAACTTTTTCTGTTTCTTATGAAGCGCAGATTTGATTTCGACGTTTGACAACAGGTCGCTGGGATGATCTGCGCGTGGACGACTGCTCAGCAGTACTTTCTGATCTACATAGCTTTCCTGATGCTGTCCACTCGCCTGGGGACTCTTTTACTCGCGGGCTTCAGCTGCGTCACCACAGAGTTCCCGTTCGTGCAGCCTTTTCCCCTCCTGGAGCTCGGAAAACGCGAGAAGATCCTCCTCAACTGGTCTCGAAGCATCTTTCACAAGCTCCAGATGCTCTTCAAAGTCGTCAAGTGCTACACCCTCTTCAAGTTCTATTCCAGGGTCATGACACTTGCTCTCTTTCTACATCCTTGCTGATCCTTTCTTCTCCAGGCTGACAAGAAGGGACGAAACCCCGCGTGGAAGGCCATTGGCTACGAGGTCCCGGAGCCAGTCCTGGAACACGAAGAGCCGCTTCCAAGCCCTCTGGAGCGCAGGCTCGTGGATGCCAAAGCTCCAGACTTCCAGTCCCGGCTGGCGGAGCTGGGCTGCGCAATGCTGGACAAGGTCGACCATCTAGAGGAAAGAAACGATCCTTCCACCGCCAGCGGCAAGGACTTTGGGATAAAATGCGACGTGGTGGTGGTAGGCTCTGGTTCCGGAGGCTCCGTCATAGCCGCGAGGCTCGCGCAGCAGGGATTCAAGGTGGTGGTGCTAGAGAAAGGTGGCTACTTTCCACGCCGGGGCCTCTCGCTGCTCGAAGGTCCGTCCATGAAGGCCATGTACGAGCAAAGTGGAGCTCTCACGACGGAGGATGGCTCGGTGATTCTCCTGGCCGGGACAACTCTAGGCGGGGGCTCGGCCGTCAACTGGGCCGCGTCGCTCAAAACTCCAAAACACGTGCTGGACGAGTGGACGTCCCTGGGGCTGGAGAACCGTTTCGGGGGGCCCGAGTACCAGCACGCGATGGAGGCCGTCTGCCAGAGGCTGGGCGTCCAGGACGGCTGTACGGAAGAGAGCTTCCAGAACCGGGTGCTGCGGCGGGGCTGTACGGAGAAGGGATATTCCGTGGGGGACATCCCGCGGAACGCCGCGCGGGATCATGGCTGCGGCTTCTGCGGGTTCGGCTGCCCGGCGGCCGCCGCGGTGAGGAAGCAATCGGCGTGTGACACATGGCTCTGCGACGCCGCCACGGCGGGCGCTGTGGTTGTGACGGGCTGCCGGGTGGACCGCATTGTCACCGCGCCGCAGGGTGGGCAGGGGGAGAGGTCGTACAGGGCCCGGGGTATATCCTCCCGCGCGGGGGAGGCTCGCTTCTACGTGGAGTCGCGCGTCACGGTGGCGGCGTGCGGCGCGCTCTTCACGCCGCCGCTGCTCCGCCGGAGCGGCGGACGGAACCCCCACATTGGCCGCCACCTGTCGGTGCACCCGGTGGTAGCGGCGTGGGGCTACTTCCCGCGGGAGGATATTCTGCCGGGCAACAGCTACACGGGCGGGATCATGACTGCCTTCTCCAGCGAGGCGGCGCGGTGGGACACCACGGGGTACGGCAGCATTCTAGAGACGCCATGTGTACACCCTGGCAATTATGCAGTGCTGGCGCCCTGGAGATCCGGCGTGGATGCCAAGCGCCAGATGCTCAGATTCCCGCGGACGGCCACGATCATCGTCCTCAACCGCGACCGGGGCAGGGGGACCGTCGATGAGACGCCCGGCGGGAAGCTCATTTTGGATTATCCGCTCTGCTTCTCGGACAGGGAGAGCCTCGTGGAGGGGACCGAGCTCGCTGTGAGGGCGCTGGTGGCGGCCGGGGCGGAGGCGGTGGGATTACACTCCGTTGCTGGCGAGATCTTCTCGGTGGATCAATCTTGGACGCCTCTGCAGCGGGAGAAGGAACTGGAGATTTTCTTGAAGCGAGTGCTGGGGAGAATGTTTCAGAGGCTGTCCACGCCGATCATATCTGCCCATCAGATGGGAAGCTGCCGGATGGGCACAGATCAGCGCTGCTCGGTGGTAGATCCCAATTGCGAGAGCTGGGAGGTGGAGGGGCTGTTTGTGGGCGATGGTAGCGTCTTGCCCACTGCGTCGGGAGTGAATCCCATGATCACGATCCAGTCGATCGCTCATTCCACCGCCACTCGCATCGCAAGATCTCTAGCAGCACGATGAAGAAGCCAAGTCACGCGGAAGTCAGCACGCCTCGCAATGGGTGCCTCGTTTGCTTACCGCGATTAAAATGCCTCACAGTGATCAGGACAATTGTTATTTAATCATGATGATATTTTTCAATCATGCTGCCAAACACCATGGATCTAGAACTATGAGCTCCATGGTAGCGGAAATGGAACTTTACATTGTTTGGGACACACAAATAGAGAACCTTCACAAAGGTTTCATTGCCCGATGCCGTTGCATTCCTGGGGCACCTCGCAAATCCGAATTGTTGGAGCATGTTAATCTGTGGATCCAGCAGCAGCTGCAAAGAGGCGAAGTTATTGAGGAGCTTTTTCTCGCGGAACTCCTTTGCAAAGAACGAGGAATCAACATCGCGATCATTGAGGACGATTCCCAATGCCATCTCGGCTCGAGGAAGGCATCCGGCCTCCTGCGAGCCAAATATCCCTCCACCAGCCCAGTCGTCTGCAAGCGTGGTGATGAGCTTGTGGATGGCAGGCGTTATTGGAAGGAATTATTAAAACTCTTTCAGGGCCAAGAGGTGCTCTATAGCTGGAAGTTTGTCCAAGATGATTGCCCTGCTATTGCAATGGGCTAGCAAGTAGCCAGTGGATGAAAGGAGTATCAATTTCTTAGTCTGGCCAGATCCTAGGCTAGGAGTTTGTTGAGGTCATCAATGATGCTTCATATATATATACATGTGTTCTATATATATATTACTTTGTCTAAGTAATATTTTAATTATAATATTATAGTATATGAACTATTCATTTGAATTTGGTCTAATTCCCATCTGCATTCACCCATATATATACATATATATGTATGTATATATATATATATATATATATGTGTGTGTAAATGTGAGGTTTAAGTGTATGGCTATGATGCTATATACTAAAATTAGCATAGTGAGATTTTAATAGCCATCATCAATTTAAACCACTTTCTTTTATTTGTGCAGATTGAAGCATTCTC